AGGTCAACAACCATCAATAATCATGAGGATTGAGGAAATCACCTCTCCACCGCAGTGAACAACAAAATTTAAAAAAAAAATAATAATAATAATAATAATAATAATAATAATAATAATAATTGGTAATACACATGGCAAGACCTTCATATCCCAAATCCACCTTTTTGATTAACTAATCAACCAATAACGATGTGAAAGTCAATACACGTTGACGTAAACAGTTATTTCAGGTATATCCTTTTAAAATTTGATTCTCTAAAGATTTCCCATTTTGTTGTTTTTATTAGGCTTGGGCATTAAGTATGTCGATCTGGGAATTTCAATACCAGAAATCATCCATTATATTTCGAGTATTTGGTAAATGGAATGAGTCGAGTTCAATTCTACATATAATATTTTTTATACATTGAGCCCCCCTTTGTTTCTCATTTTTGGAAGAATGAGAATGAAAAATATAACCGTTACGGGCCCCACACTAGATATAGAAATTCAAATTTTGTGGTTTGATATGATGGATAACGGTCATATTTTTCATTTTAATGAGGAAAAAATGGAAACCAAACTTAATAAATATTTTCATATAGACCCTTTTAGTACTTATATATAATACGTTATTACTCGATGGAATATTTGCGAGGGAGAAAATCCAGCTACGAAATTTTCAAAAATCAAAATAGTGGAGATTAAAAACCATGAAATATGAGAAAATTAAAATATCAAAAATTAAATTGCAACTTGAGAAGAAATTAATTTTTCTTAATAAATGTTATTCAATCCATAAGTGAGGTATGCTAGAACCTATAATTTAATTATTAACATTGCTTAAGTTCTTTTCTAATCTTAAAACGAAACTAACATAAAAAGCATTAATTAGATACATAACTATATAGTATCAAAAATTGAACTCGCTCAACTTCAATTAAAAAGGAAAAAATATATTTCAAAAGAGGATCTCAGACTCAATATAAACAAAAAGAATTACACTACAGCATAAATTATGAATGTATTAAATGCTTGTTTAGCATGGATTTTGATAATTAATTTTTTGTCCGTTAGATATAAAGTGGGTCCTACCTACGAGAGAAGAATTCAAAAATTACTGTTGGAATAGTGAAATAACGGTCAAAAAATTGATTTTAATTGGCTTAAAATCTGTACCAAACAGGCATTAAGTTTAATTGCTTACAAAAAATTTAAAAAATCGCTTAAGTTTTTAAAGAATGCAAGAAAGTAAAAATCTCAAATTATAAAGAATAACACTTTAATTTATCAACTTACACCATGCAACAATATGATATCAGGCGAGAGGCAAAAAAGTGAGAACTAGTCTTGACAGGGTTAAAGTCTAGAGTTTTGAACTAATTACTACCTTAATTAGGGGTTTTAGGTTTTGTATTTGTGTTATCCAACCTATAAATTGTAAATAAAAAATTACATTAAAAGTCGGTTTTATTTGATGCCCATGATTCTTTTTTTCTTTTTCTTTTTTTTAAGAGCCAAGAATTGACTCGGCTCCAATTTATTCTTAATTTTCGTTTCCTAGGCTGTTAAGCAAACTGGCCATCTTATATAATATAAGCCGAAAAATGGGTTTTGAGCCTCTCTACTACCACCAGCATCAAAGCCTTAAATTAACCTCGCTTATGATACCCCCAAATCGAGTAGCGCAACGTTCAAGAATCGGATCATCCAAAGGTGAATTGGTAAGTCTATTTTTGCGCACTTATTTAATACTTAAACTAAATTTATTATTGATTAAATGAGTGAATTTCTATTCACAATTATGTAATTTATAATTTTATTGGCAAAGATCACCCAAAGGAAAAAGGAGATGCATAATTGACTGTATTAATCTCGGTAGCTACGCCACTAGACAAAAGGAGGGAAAAATTTACTAAAAGTATGCAAAATTGTGAAGTTGGGAGCCAAAGTGCAGAAGTGTTGATAGTTGAGGAACTTGGTCTGCAATTTTTGAAGGGCGTGATTGAAAGGAAATTCAAAATTTGATGATCAAATTGTATGAGATCATAATTGAGGGATGATGAGTGCAAATTATTAGAGGACTTATGTGCCAAAAAAAAAAAGAATCAGTTGGCAGAGGCCAGAGAGTTGCCACTTTAAGGCTCGAGGACCATTTTGTCCACTTTTTGAAAATCCAAGGAATTGAGTTGCAAATTTCTGATTTTGACTAGGTTTTTAAAATCTGAAAATGGCAATAGTAGGGCTGGGCAAATCTCCCGAACCGAACTCGACGGTTCTTGTCAAATTAAATACCCGAACGGGTATCTGAATTGAGAACCGACGGGTACGGTTCGGTTCTCGGTTCTAGACCTAGAACCGAAGAACCAAATAAGAACCGAATCTTTCTAATTTTTTTTTATATTGAGTAAATCAAATTATTTTAATTTTTTCTAAACAAGTTAACGATTTCTAAATCCAAAATTTTGGCCCAATTACCATTTTATTGTTTCATTTCTTAGTCAAGCAAAATCAAATCCACTAAATAGCCCTAAACACCAACACCAAAGTGCATAACATTGTCTTCACTCTCATACTCACTCTCGCAGCCTCGCTAATATTCCGAAATCTATACAATTATCGGTCGACACTGTGACTTCCGATCGAAACTGTGACCTTCGCCACCCGAAGCTTTGATCGTAGCGATCATTTGAACAATGTAGTTTACTAGTCTCTGACATTCCAGAACCATTGAATGTATTATTAGTTGTATTTATATAATGTTGTTATAAATGTTAAAAAAATTAATTATAGTACAGAACCGAACCGAACCGAACCGAACCGAACCCGAACGGTTCCATAATTATATTTGGACCCGACGGTTCCATTTACTAGATATCCGAAAAGTTCGGTTCGGTTCGGTTCTCTTTAGAATCGAACCGAACCGAACCGATCCGCGTCCACCCCTAGGCAACAGCCTTTGGGGAGTCTTCCTCATTTCTTTTCCATTTTGACTTTCTTTTCTTTTTACCTTCTTTCTCTCTTCTTTTTCCTTTGTTTTTCCGTTCTTATTATTTGGGGGAAAAATCAAGAGCATAAGGAGAATACATTTTCAATTTCCTGGAATTCATTTTCTTTCCACCCAAATTTTATTTTCGCAATCAAATAGACCCTTAAAGAAATAGTCGAAGAAAATCAAGATCAAAACATAAAAAATCTAAATCCAGCAAGAGTTTTATCTTCTCTCCTCTATTTTCCTCATTATTGTCTTCTATTTACAATGCATTGTATAAAATATTCTCATTTTTACCACATATATATATATGTGTGTGTGTGTGTGCGCGCGCTAAGTTTTATTGTTGGGATTTATTGTTGAGTTAACCGAATTTAATTAATTTTAATATTTGTCTTTTAATGTTAAAATGCTTATTTTCATATATATCTACTATTGTATTTCTTGCATTCTTATTTATGTGGCTAATGAATTATTGTTTTCAATTATTTGTATATTATTCTAGAGAAGATTGTGCATTTTAATTCAAATAATAGAAAGCCTAGGTTCGTGTAGGGGATATAAATATATCCCTAACTCTAGGCGATCCATTGAGCTATTTTTACGAATATTTAATGCGATTGTTTGGTTTTAATTAACATAGATTTAATGCAATTGTGTTTTCTTCATTATTATCTTTTATTTACAATGTATTATATAAAATGTTTTCATTTTTATCATTTATATAACATGGGTTAGGTTTTATTATTGGAATTTATTGTCGAGTTAACCTAGCTTTAATTAATTTTAATATTTGACTTTTTATGTTAAAATGCTTATTTTCATGTGTATCTACTATTGTATTTTTTTGCATTTTCATTTATGTAGTCAATGAATGATTATGATTAGTGATTTGTACATCATTCAAGAGAAGTTCGTGCATTTTAGATCAAATAATAGAAATCTTAGGTTCGTGTAGGGGATAAAGATATAGCTTTAACCTTAGGTGAGACATTGAGTAATTTTCATGAAGATTTAATGAAATTGCTTGATTTTAATTAACATATAGATACAGTAGGTTAAACAAATCAATCACATTTAATTTCTTTCTAGAGAGATGATTAACTAAAATTGAAAAAAAAATGTATCTCACATCGTAAACAAGTAATTTGTTAATTGGCTTGTAAAAAAATTAATTAGCATATCTTAAGCAAAACCATAAATCCTGATCACGTTTTCCTTTAAAATTTCCAAGTGTTTTTTATTTCTTATTTTGTAGACTTTTAGCTATTTCCTTATTTCTCATAATCAAAATTATATTGTATGTTCGTTCTTATTATTAAAATTAAATTGATAAAAGTTATATAATCAAAAGTAAACATTTCTCGAGTGATTGACAACTCGAACTCAAAAGTCTACTTTATTACTTAAACACAATTCGTGCACTTGCTATTTGCCCTTTCTTAGCGAACATAAATTTTCAAGAAGGATTAAACATAATATGCCAAATATCCGATGGAAACACATGGAGGTAGTAGTTGCCTTTCCATTTCCTTAATGGCATTGGAAAAAGGTATGAAAGATTGTAAGTTCGTCCCTATTTAACCTCTTATGAAACTACATCCAGAATTAGCGGGTTAGGACTGACATGTCCAGAGGATTCCTGGGCCTTGACAAATGGCTGGCTCCTTCGCTTTCTTAACGACCCCTAATAGGTCTTTTAGATTGGCAGAGACAAGGTCCTTACCATTTTTAGGCATGTCATGAAAACTAAAGCAAGAAGGGAGAGAGCTGACTTTGAGAATGAAGCTTTCTTGCTCGCAAATGCCCTTCTTCCTTTAATGAAAGAATCCAGACTTCCCACTTAATCAGGTCGGAAACACCTAAGTAAGACTTGCCCCTCACAGTCTCACACCACCGCTCCGGAGGTGCATCCTTCATCAATCAACACTAGAGATCGTTAAATACAGATGTCAGAGCCCGACCATGGCCGGACGCGCAACCCTTAGTCACTCAATACTTGCTTTCTCTACATTCAAAATAATGATAGAAAAAAAGTAGGTTAAAGAAAGCATACATACACCGATTAATAAGCCTTCATCATACTGCAGATCTTCAGTCAAAATTTAAGAAAAAAGATCAAATCAAACACGGATCTACAAAACGGAGTAAATTTAAAACAAGCCCATAAAACTAATCAAACCTAAAAAACTAGCGCTAATTAAAATTCACTGAAATTATGCTGCCTTGGCTGAACAAGCCAAAGAAAAGCAAGCAACATCTCCATTTCTATTCACTCTCCCATTCCTTGTCCTTCCTTGATCTATATGCAGAGCTTGAGATTTCATCTTTTTTATGGCCTTCCTTCTTCTGTCATGATCTGCCATTCTGCACCAAAAAGAAGGGAAAAAAGAAGAAGAGAGAATTAATTAGACTATTAGCTGCGTATGTGTGATTTGTTGGGGGGGGGGGGGGCATGAAAAAAAAAGGGAAAATACTCCTTGGAGAAAGAAAAAGGATGAAGATTGATCCCAGAAAGACAAACTGGAAGGCCTTGGCTAGTCTGGGGGTTAAAGGAAAGAGGCATTTTCTTGAAACTTGAAAAAATATTGAGCTGTGAGAGATCAGAGAACAGGGTGGTGGCTACTGGTTTTAGGTTTTGTAGATTTTTGTCCGGTTACGGTCGTTGGATTTATCCTGTGATTGGTGTGTTTATCTAATTATCTCGTTTATTCATTTCGGCGTAGGGGCTGGTTCTGAGAATAAACACTGGATTGGGGAAAGGCAATTAAAGCATAGTAAAAGTAGATATGTGTAGGCGACATAATAAAGAGCTATCGTTTTCATTGGATAAAGACATGGGCATGAATTGTGTATATTTGTAAGGTTAAGAATGAAGACATGATTCAACTAATACTCTCACAGACTGAGCTTCGTGCGAGGACACTTTTTAGAATAGATTTCAAAAAAATAATTGTTTAGAAAATGTGTGTTTAAAAGTAAGAATTTTTTTTGAGTTTACACGTAAAATTATCTTATTGGTAAAATATGTAATTGAAAATAAGTTTCAAAAAATATGACTTGTAAAAAATAGGACTCAAACATGGGTTAAATTTAGCTTGTTAGTGTATCTTTAGGTAGATGGATTAAGATGGGATCAGGCTATTTATATCGACATCAAAAGGTACAATGGAAATGTTAGACTATATTGGGCCTCAATTTTGAGGATTCTAGATTTGTAGTGACATAAGCTTATATTTTTTGAATTTTGCTATTTGTACATAAAAAATGTACACAATGAATTGCATAATATGATGTAGAGAAAAAGATTGGATAAAAAATTGATTCTATTTTAAACTGACAAATGGTAATGTTATGTGGTATTATGTAATTTGTTATGTAAATTTTGATATACATATCACAAGATCCACAATTTTTTTTTATTTTCATGAGGAAACTACACTATGAACCTCTTTTTCATTGAAATTTAAATAAAACCTTCTTTTTATTTTTTACCCTACATAAAAATAGAACTTTATAAAATTACCTCCTTTTAGTGTACTAGTATTTACCTATGCAATGCATTAGTTAAGATATTTTGAAGGTAATGTTAGTGCTTTAAACGAGTTGGATTGTCATAAATCACATCGTGTCTTGTACATTTAAAAAAAAAAAAAAAAAAAAAGATAAAAATGACTAACTCTAGCATAAAAATTCTCAACAAATTTCATCTCCAGTCGCCTACATCACATGAGAATAGCTGAAGTTCTTAACAAACTAAACTCTGTTCTGCCCATTATTTGAAATTTCAATTGTTATAATGTGTTTTTTTTTTTTGAAAAACGTGTGGTTAAAAAAGAAGAAAATTTTTGAGATTACGCGTAATAATCTTTTATTGAAAAATGTGTGATTGATAATAATAAAGAGAAAAAATGAATTATAATTTTAATAAGGGCCATATAGGGGAAATATTATAGAAATTATTTCACACACGGAAATCAAACTTTGTCAATAGCATTTTCAAAGGTAAAGCATTTCCAATATAGAAGAAATGGAATTAGAATTTCTCAACAAGGAATTTCGATAAGAAATCCTCTCGGATAACAATTCAATAGGAAATTTAGGCCCGTTTGTTTCCCATTTAAGTAAGAATGAGAATGAAAAATATAATCGTTATGGGCCCCACACAAAAGATAGAAATTTAAATATGATGGCTTGATATGATAGATAACGATCATATTTTTCATTTTAATGGGGAAAGAATGAGAAACAAACAAGGGATAATATACTTTTAAATTCAAACATGACTTGTTGAAGAGAAAACTGCAAATTTGTAATTCCATTGTCAGGCATTTGAGGTGCATACCCAAATGGGCAATAGGTTGTGATTGAAAATGTCTTAGGCTTCCCTCATACTCAGCTTGCTCAGTGTTAGGATAATAGTATTTTCTATGTAAAGAATTATAGATGAATTTTTTAGCCACCTAAACAAAGGCCAAATCTCCAAACAATACTTGTGTAAATTTTGATTGCAAATAAATTTTACCACCACAGATTTTTCTATACAAATTACATTGGCAAATCTTAAGTTTATTGTATTAATTTCTAAAGCCCACAGATAAATGTGGTGCATCTGTAGCCAGAGCGGTAACCGTGGTCCAGAGAGCTATCACAGTCTACAATGCCACTGAACATAAAGTTGCATTCTCCAATAATGCAACTCTTTACTATTAAGAGCATTGGGCTGGAAGAAAATTTGTTCTCTTTGTTGTCAACAAGTAATGTGAAAAAGATCAGAATATGTAAAACATTGAATTTAACAACAAATCTTAACTTGTAAGACTAACAAAAGTCAATTAGACATTAGTAAATTTCAACATTAACGTCTTTGTATGAACAAGGAATGTATTATGAATACCTAAAATATCTACAGATAATCTGCCAAAGCGATACATATCATAGCAACAAGTACGTAACTAAATCTGTTCACTTGAAATTGGGGGAAATAAGTCTGCTTACTTTGCATATTCTCATGATGCATATTATTGTGCTCGTATGAAAACAAATTTCATTTTTGATATATCAGTCAATGAAAGACATATAAATATAGATCATTGCACTTGGGATTACATCAATTTTTTTCATTCTGGTTGAGAATCTGACAAGGAAACATTTTTCCCAATTAATTATAGAACTTGCCTAGATACTAAACATAAATAAAATATTTTCATGGCCCTTTTTTCCTCTGAACCGTTGAAGATATTTTTCTGATTAACCAATGGAGATCAAACTAGAGTTGGTAGGGTATGGATGACCCCCTGGTTGTAACAATATGGTGAGGAATCATATGCAGAGGCTCATGAAGTTTAAGCATTGAAACAGATATAATGAATACTTACTTAAATGATGATAACACCCTCTTTGCTAACCATTTCCATATTAGGGAATATGAGAAACAAACCTGAGCAATTTTTTCCAATGTACTTATCATTGTGCTCTAATCTTTAAGTTTGTAACCACAAGATCAATAGCTGTGAAAATACCTCGTCCAAGATCCATTGAGTTCATACCAGCCGTAGTCGGTCTCATATATATATTTACAGTGAGAAATCAGTAGTCTACAACCTAACTAAGTAGAAAACTCACCATCCCTAATAAGATTGTGGCATTTGCAACTTGCTTTACAAGGCTCGCACCAATGTTTTTAAATCTTTCGTTGAACTCAATGCTTTTTTCCACGATGACAACATCCTTTCCTCAATCACCACATTACTCCCCTTCACCAATTGAAACAATCAAAACTTTATTCAACTAAATTATTGATAAACAAGAGCACGCTGGCTAAAAGTAAAAATAAATAGCTAAAAAATTAACAAAAATAAGTTGAAATAACACTTTTTTTACAATGTTCCACAAAAATATCTTGAATATATCTATGAAATTATATACAAGTGTCCCCATCTATTGTTCAAACATCAGTACGAAAATAAACAAGTTCATTAAAAGGCTAATTGGAAACATGTATAAATAGATAACACTATACAAAAATAAAATCAAACTGATCGCTAGTGCAATGAGCAGCAGCAGGATCACTGAAGTACCTTGGGGCCATGGTAGTTTTAACTGCCTCAGCTAGCTCTTCAAAACCCTTAAGCATCAAAGCTCTGGCATCTCAGACGATATAATTACCACACGCATTTTTTGTAACTTTGATGATATATGTTCAAAAAAGGCAAAGAAGACAAACATCAACAACTCCAACAATCAAGATTAGCAAAAAATCATTAAAAAAGCCATCCAACTGGAGCTTCAAAAGTTCAAAACGAATTAAACATAAGATTTAATTTTGTTAGATCCCCTACAGGAATAGGAAGAATTTTCAATTTAATGAATTTTATACTTCTTTTCATAGTTGGACCCACATGGGGTCAAATGGGGGGATTTTTCTAAATGGCCTATCACTATTTATTCTTGCCAAAATGTCTATAATACCCTTAATGAAATGACTTGCCATATTTTGCACAAAATATCCTAATTTATTGGAATAGTTCCAAAATTCTTCTATTTCTCTCATTTCGAATTTTAATATATAGTTTCATCCTTCGATCTAATAAATTAGCATAATCTGTAATATAATTGTCATATAATTCTTTAAAATTATCATATTCCTTAGATGATATATTCATAGTCTCTAGTTGAGAAATTTTTTTCTAGTAGTTTTTCTAACAAATTATCTAATCCTTTAATTGTATAGCTTGGCATCATTTAGATAATTCCTTACAAGTTTTATGAATAATAATAACATGATAGATAAGTTTTTTGCAAACATGAAAATTAATAATCCCTACAATTCTTTCAAGATATTAGAATAATTCTTTCTAAATTTAATAAAGACAATAATTTTGCCTTACTTATGATCTTAAATCTGCATTCTTAGAACTAAGTGACCTTCAGTCTCTGAATCTGCAAACTGCTCCCTCAAACGACCTTTTGCCTTAATGGGAATTCTACTATTTCAGCTTCTTGCCCTCACTGTATCTTTTCTTAGAATTAAGAATAAGGATTTTAAGTAAAGAAAATTCTCTCTTTGTTAAAGTAAGAAAGAGATTATCTTCTTCAATCTGTCAAGAATTTATGGGATAGGAAGTTTAGAAACTCATATTTTTCTGATATCAAAAGATTGAGATTCTATTTCTATAATGATTTATACAAGGTTTCTATTGTATACAAGGGGTTTCCAAAAAAACTAGTTTTAAAGAAAGCTTAAGAAAAGAGAATGATTTCTAACTCGAGATGATCCATTCTTTCCCCAAAAATCTCTATTTATACATGACTCAAACTTGCCATTTTTGGTCTATTACATCATTGCATATATCAGAATTTGAAAATGCTCACATGCCTCTTTATTCTTTTCCTCCTGGGGTTTACATTTTCACATGCATTTTTTGCTTTTTCATCAAATGGGCATCTTTTCCTCTATTATTGCTTCTCCATCTTTGGCTCCATATGCAGCTGGCTAGATGCTTTGGTAGTGGTAGGTCCCCTTCCATTCATATTTTGTCAATCTTTTTAATCTTGTCTGCATGTGGGGCACTCCCTCAATCTGCATGATTCTTAGATTATTGTAGGACTTCCATTAATTTGATGAGTATCAAATTTCTGGATATATTCTTTCAAAATAATAGATTTTTCTTTTCCATTATTCGTAAGGAGTGTCCATCCTTCATATTGACACAAGCATCTGAATTTTTTATCATATAAGTTTTTTACAATGTTATAAAGAACTTTTATCCCCAAAACTCTTCGGGATTTTATCCATGATTTATTAATTTTAGACAATGATTTATTTTTTCAGCCAACTTCAATCTAAAAATCTCGGCCAATATATCCAAT